CCCCCCCCCCCCCCCACATGCACTCCTGTTGACCAGAGCCTGGGGGGTGCGCAGCCCCCCCCCCCCTAAATCCACCACTGTATAGCAGTAAACTGAAATCGTATGTTCTAAACGTATGTTCATATCCACACGCCAAAACCTAGCAACTATATACCTGACAAACCGAAAATCTTGATTAATGATAATAAAATTGAGTTAAAACATACAAAAGTTTGGGCGTTGATTTGGACGAGCTCCTATATCTTGGATTTACTGCGTATACAGCCCAGCATGATTCTGACTCTTCCTCAAAGTGCTTCGGAAAAAAATTAAGTGTATAGCCTGCCTGCGAAATACAATAATAATAACAATTTTAAGATAGATTATGCCGATTATGGCATAATCGATTGTTGAAAACGAATTACAAATATGAACCGACGGATACAGCATACGATTTTTCCTACTGATCCAAGTTCATCCAATAAGACAATTGTACAAATCGTCAAGTTCTCTTTAATCAATTTCATTCGTTTGTATTACAATTACATAATTCTCTCATATATTAATTTCAATACTAAATCTGAATATAACAAAACATTACTACAATTATTCTAAATGCAGTTTCCACATGGACAGTGCCTCAAACAATATCAATTCATGTGATTTAAATTCTAATTAACTGTTAATCATCTATAAATGCATTATATATTTTTTTTCTATAACTATACATTTATTCAACATTTTTCGCTATATGTAACGCAAGGGTCACGCGTATATACTATGGAAGAGGAAAGAGCTCCACCAACCCCAACAAAAAATTGCAGAGAAAAGGTTGTTGGAAAAACCTATAATATGCTACTCAGAATGAAGACCTCATCAAATACTGAAATAGGCAATATAAGCTAGCAATCTCAGTGCTTTGGTTTACATAAGTGCACGTTTTTATATAATTTCCTTTCAAATGCAAGATTCATGACCAAATTTGCAGACCAAATTTGCAACACATTTGCAGCGAGGCAAATTTGAGGCCCTGCGGCATCTTGCGCCATTGACAATGGCAGCAAATAGAAATATACAGCTAATTCAAAAAAGGTTGTCCTTTGCAAACCTCACTCTGAACCTTAAACCTTAAACTCTAGGCGTGCAAAGCATAATGGGAGTACTGATTTCAAGCTTAGTAGTTGAATATTGCAGTTGTTTGTGAGTGAAATGTTTTCGCAGGCACATAATTATTTACCATGTCTTAAAAAATGGGCTCCATATATGCTTTCTAAACTGCTTAAATAGTGCTCCCATTATGCTTTGCGCGCTTAGAGTTTAAGGTTTAGGTTTTAGAGTTTAAGGTTTGCAAAGGACAACCTTTATTGAATTAGCTGTATATGTCAGGGGGCGGTTGTACGAAGGGAAAAATCATAAACACCGGCCCCTGAAATATAATTTGCACTCATGTAAACAAAGCTCTTGCATTCCTGTTCTGATTGACTAGATTGCAAAGATCTATTATTTTAAATCATTTAAAAACATGGAACATTCAAAAATGTATTTCCATTCTGTCCAAAAATAGGCAAGGTAAATTGGCTTCACATCTGAATCATAGTCTTTGAACACCCAATCGTTTTGTAAAACCAAGCAGTTTTGACCACAGACCATAACTGAACACTGCTAAAACAGTACTAGGTTGTTCTGCATACCATTCTGCAAAAATATCACAATAAGTCAGAGTTAATAGAATTATAAATAGATCACTAGCTTTGCAAACACGGGGGGGGGGGGCTCAAAATAATGGCCAGGGTGCATGAGCAACCCTCAGTCACGAGGCTAAAAATGTTGTTTGAAATTGTTAAACAAAGTCAAACTCAATCCAACATCTTCCAACATCGGTCAAGATTATACCCAACATAGTGCTCAGAGAAGTCAACAATGTTACATGATGTTGGACCAACATTCAATGTGGGCCTCGTTTGAACGGGTTTTTGCCCTATTTCAGATCAAAACTGTAAACTTATTTTACCCTTCAGGGCGGCAGATACGGCGATACCTAGGTATATACACCCTAGATTTCAATTCCACCAAGTGCAATGTCTTAAGAGAGGATGTCCACAAAAATCAAACATAAAGCGGCCACGACTGAAAAATCGATTTTGCTCAAATTTTGCCCAGATATACCTTATTATATCGGAAAATGCACCATATATTTTTTTAGGTCAAATACTTTATTAACTTTGAGAAAATGCCGTTTTAACACGACCACCCTAAATCGCCATTTTTTCTGGGAAAATATGCGCTGATTTACAGATAAATTTCACGACGACAACCGTTTCTAATCGATCTAAAACCCTAAAAATCTTGTTTTCGGTTATTCAAAGGACTGTGTACATGACTTACAGGAAATCTGAGTTACTTTTAGGAATAGAAATAATCGTAGTTTTGGAGCACACTATCTTACTTCATTTACGATACCCTCTTAACAAAACCGATTTTCACCATGGGATAAAGCTCCAAATCGATCATGCTTCTACTAGTTGGCTCTTTAATAAACAAGCTTTCAATTGACGTAAATACTTCTTTTGGCAAATGAATACGCGATAAACGACAGCGCGTTGAAATCGTCCGTTTTTGACGTCTTGCAAGTCAAACGCTGTAAATTTATACACCGTCGAAGTAAACAATTTATTAATCAAGTATTCTAAGTATTTTACCTTTTCAGAAAAAGCATGTTCTTGAATGGGGACTTTTCGCTTTGCTAAGTTTAAAAGTGGTCCAGAAATCCCAGTATATTTGTAAAAAAAAATCAAACATCCAGTATTTTGAGACATTGTTGACGGTTGCATGATAACTTCAGATCATTATTCAACGTGATCTACGACCCGGTCGTTTGACTTTAGCGCTAACATATACAAATCGATGAGCTATTTAAGGATTATATTTGCTACTAAATTCCCCAAAAGAATTGGAACTACCACTGCTGTTTTCAGAGGTTTTGATCCATTTTGTGATGTTTACAAATACGTAAGTTAATTATTAAGCAGCTGTTAGCGTGCGTGTACAGGTGAATGAACGTTTATAATGTTTATCCATATAAGGAGTTTTTATTATTAGTTTACCAGCCCTTATATTTGAATAGTCGTTTTCTTTCAAGTTGTTTTCTTTTTTATACTCTGCAAAGTTGATTCCGAAATGTTAAGGTATTCGAAAAAACTATCGAATTTTCCCATGATATTTACAGAGAAA